GTCCGTCCTGGAGAGTGTTCGAGTCCTCGTCGGCCGTCTTGAGGGCAGCTTGGGCGTCTTCGGGGCCTCTTGGGACTGTCTAGGGCCCTCTCGGGACCTCCATTAGCCTGTCGTGGCCTGCTTCGGGGCGGGCCCGGGGCCGCCTCGGGACCCCTCTGGGCCTTCTCTTGGAGCGCTCTTGGGGCACACTTGGGTTGTTGTCTGGGGAGCATCCTGGGCCGTCTTGGGGCCCTTGTCGGGGCCTCGTAAGCCTTCTTGGAGCGATCTGAAAGTCCTCCGAGGCCGTGAGGGAGCGCTGGAAAGCGGAAAAAGCGAGAACGCCAAAATCCCAAACACTCGGAAAACGAGTGAATCTTGCCTTCCAGGGCCCTTTTGGGGAGCCTCTTGAGTCCGTCCTGGAGCGTGTTGGAGTCCTCGTCGTCTGTCTTGAGGGCATGGTGGGCGTCTTCGGGGCCTCGTGGGACCGTCTTGGGTCCTCTCCGGACCTCCTTAGCCTGTCGTGGCCTCCTTCGGGGCGGGCTCGGGCCGCCTCGGGAGCTCTGAACACCCCCCGCAACCCCTGGTGGGCACCGATGGGGGGAACAGGCAGCGGCCCGCACCCCCCCTCCGGGCCTACTCCGAGATAGAGAATCATATTCCCAGGAAGCTTTCTGGGAGCATTATTTGTTCGGCTCTCTAAGAGGGGGGCCTCTGGGGGCTTACCCAGGGGCGCCTTTTGGCCTTGTCGGCAAGCCTATTGGAAACATGGTTGGGGCGGTGGGCGGAAGCCCAAGGAATCATGTTCCCGGAAAGCTATCTAGGAAATACGATTCACCGAAGTGTCTTGGGGTCCCGCAGGGGGCTTCCCTGGGGGTCCCTTGGGGGCTTATTGGGGCTTCCCGGGGGCATCTTGGGAGCCTCACGGAGCTTCTTGGGAGCCTCTTGATGGCCTCCGGGGGCGTCCTAAGAGCCTCTCAGGCCGGAGACCTCGAAATGTCGCGCTCTTCGGGCCCTCTTGGGTCGCTCTTGGGGCTCTATCGGGGCGCTCTCGAGGCCCTCTTGACTTATCTGGGGAGCCTCCTGGGCCGTCTCTGGGCTTTCTTGGGAGCCTCTTCGGCCGTCTTGGAGCGATCTGAAGGGCCTCTGACGCGGTCCGGGACCGTGGGGAGGCGGAACATGGGAGAGCGCAAGAATGCTTCAAAAACCATTGGAAAAATTATGATTTTCGGCTTCTGGGGCCCTTTGGAGGGGCCTCTGGAGGCGCTCCTGGGGCGTTTTGGCGGCGTCGTCGGCTGTCCTGAGGCCACCTTCGGCGTGTCCGGGGCCTCTGGGGGCTGTCTTTGCGCGTCTTGGGAACCCAGGAATCATGTTCCTGGAGAGGCTTCCGGCAACATGATTTCGAACGGGACCCTCTTGGCCTCCCTGAGGCCGTCTTGGGGGCCTCCTGGGCTGGCTTTGGGGCCTCTTGGGCCGTCTCGGGGGGTTCCGTGAGCCCCACAGGCCGACCCTTTGGGGCCGTCTTGGGCCCTCTCGGGTCTCTCTTGGGCTGTGTTGGGGCTCCGCGGGGGCGTCTGGGGCACTACCAACGAAGCAAGGGAGTCTGCTGAATATGTCCGTTTTACTACGGGGACGGGCCGATGTTGAAGGCCCTCTAGGGGCCCTCTTCGGCCATCTTCAAGCCATCTTGGGCCCTCTTGGGCCTCGCTGAGGCTGTCCTGGGGCCCTCTAGGGGTCGAAGGGGCCCTGGGAGCCCGGAAGTCATGTTCCCGGAGAGGCTTCCGGGAACCTGATTTCGAACGGGGCCCTCTTGGGCCTCCCTGAGGCCGTCTTGTGGGCCTCCTGGGTCGGCTTCGGGGCCTCTTGGGCCGTCGGGGGTTCCCTGAGCCCCACAGGACGACCCTTTTGGGCCGTGGTGGGCCCTCTTGGATCTCTCTTGGGCTGTCTTGGGGCTCCGCGGGAGCGTCTGGAGCACTGTGAAGACGAAGCCAGCGAGTATGCTGAAAATGTACGTTTTACGAGGGAAATGGGCCGATGTGTGCCTCTTGAAGGCCCTCTTGGGGCCCTCTTCGGCCATCTTCAAGCCATCTCGGGCCCTCTGGGGCCTCGCTGAGGCTGTCCTGCGGCTCAGTGGGGGGCCCTGGGAGCCCGGAAGTCATGTTCCCGGAGAGGCTTCCGGGAACCTGATTTCGAACGGGGCCCTCTTGTGCCTCCCTGAGGCCGTCTTGGGGGCCTCCTGGGCCTGCTTTGGGGCCTCTTGGGCCGTCTTGGGGGGTTCCGTGAGCCGCACAGGCCGACCCTTTCTGGGACCCTCTTGGGTCTCTCTCGGGCTGTGTTGGGGCGCCGCGGGGGCGTCTGGGGCACTGTGAAGACGAAGCCAGCGAGTATGCCGAAAATGTACTTTTACGAAGGAAATGGTTTTATTTGTTCCTCTTGAAGGCCCTCTTGGAGCCCTCACGGGCCCTCTTGGGGCGCTCTTGGGCGTCTTCGGGGCCTCTTGACTTTCGTGACCATCTGTACGGCCCGCGTGGCAAATCGTGGGCAATTTGGAAGCGGCCCGGGGCAGTCCCAGGGGGTCTGTGACCCCCCAAAGGTTCGGGGGGGGCCCCATGGGGGATGACGGCACCGATTTTGGCCCCCACCCCAGCCTACCCAGATATCCATATATATATGTATATATATATATATACATATGTATATGTGTATGTGTGTGGTGTGTGTTGTGTGTTGTGTGTGTGTGTTGTGTGTTGTGGGTGCGTGTTGTGTGTTGTGTGTGTTGTGTGTTGTGTGTTGTGTGTTGTGTGTGTTGTGTGTGGTGTGTGTGTTGTGTGTGTTGTGTGTTGTGTGTATTGTGTGTTGTGTGTGTTGTGTGTTGTGTGTGTTGTGTGTCTTGTGTGTGTGTTGTGTGTTGTGTGTTGTGTGTGTTGTGTGTGTTGTGTGTGTGTTGTGTGCGTGTGCGTGTGCGGGTGCGTGTGCGTGTGCGTGTGCGTGTGCGTGTGTGTGTGTGCGTGTGCGTGTGCGTGTGCGTGTGCGTGTGTGTTGATGCTCCTCTTCCTCCCACGTCGCATAGCTTCCCATATCTTCTTTTCTCGGGGATCGATGATGCATTTTGTCTCTGTGTGCCGTTTCTGCTCCCCCTCCTGAGAAAGACACGGGCCTCACGCGAGATGGCATAGCTCGCGACCTTGCGCGGCGGCTCCCACGGGCCGCCAGCGCGGCACGCCACACGAAGCAAGCGAGGGCGCCCACCGCGCGCGCGACCTTGCGCGGGACGCGCTCGCGCGCGCGCGCCGACGTCGGTGGACAGGAGCCCGGTGGCCTGCGTCGCTCGGGGAGGAGGAGGAGGAGGAGGAAGAGGAGCAGGAAGAGGAGGAGCAGGAGGAGGAGAGGGAGCAGGAGGAGGAGGAGGAGGAGAAGGAGGAGGAGGAGCCGATTGCCTGCTCCTCGGGCTCCCCGGCCTCTCGCTCCTGGCCGGAGCTCCTCGGGCTCTCCCCGGTCTCTGGCGCCTTGCTCTTCGGGAGCCCTCGGGCTCCCCAGGCTTTCCCCGCCCTGCGGGGGCGCCCCAGTCTCCCCGGGCTCGTTCGACGAGGGAGGAGAGGCACCGGTGCCGCTTCCCTTCTCCCTTCCCTCGTTGCGCCCTTTGGGGTCCCCTCGGGAAGCCTCGTCGCCACGGCTGGGTTCGCCCGGACATCCGAATCAGAACGCACCCCAGGAGGGGTCTGGAGAGTACAGTCGGACCGGAGCCAGAAAAACATCCCTCA